AATCTGATTTCAAGCAGTGTCCCATCTTTGAATTTACGTGATAGTGACACGTTGGGGTTTCCCTTGTTGTGTTTTGGGAATCCCAGCTGCTACGGTTAAATTACGCACATGTATGTAAATATGGCGGCACAGAAACAAATTACAAGTTTCTTTCAGAAACAAGACAGTGCCTTGACGACTTGTAAACCGTCAAGTAATCAAATTGCTGTACGAATAATGAACGGACAGCTTACTAGTGTCACTTGTTCGTCTTGTTGTAGTCACACTCCATTAATTCCATTCTGTAAATGTTTTCTTATGGCTTTCCAGTACTCCTATATTGAAAAGATAAGTAGTATGTACTCCTGATTTTGAAAAATTATCTGGAGCCCGGATAGTCTATTTGTATTTAATGTGACACATTTGAAATTGATGCAGCCCGCAAAGGCCTTGACAGTGTCATTTTAAGCAAACAGTTTCCAATACAAACTAAACAGACCAAAGTAACTCTTGTATTCAAACACATTTGATGATTCATTTTTCAACTCTGTTTAGTTTCATGGGCTACTAGAAACAGCTTTAAAGGCACATACTGAAGATGTTTAACAAGAATTAAGGGAAGAAAAAATTATTGGGACTGTACATATAACTACAATGAAATGGGTCACAAGTTGATGAACTTTATCAGATACCAAGCCTGGAATCTTGTCAAAAACACATTGTAATGCTAAGTGTACAAGGGTGAGTGACATTTGGTATTTATTTGGCTCACTTGAGCCTGATGGCCGGATATCTTGCTTCATGTGCGAGGAGACATCAGTGAGGGGTAGACCCTGCCATCCAGATGTCCCCCAGGCCTGCTACCGGGGTATCATAGCTGCCCTTTACACCACTCCACACACACTGGAACACAATCTCTCCAAGACCACATTGAACCACTCACATTTTCCGCCTCAAATTTCAAAGCTATTGCAGCTTTTGAAGAAACTCATTGAAACGTATTCATGCATTTCTGCTCCTTGCAAATACTCCAAAACATTTCAAACAGTGCTAATTTCTAAAATGCGCCCAGTTAAATTTTTATTTGAAATTCTGAATAAAGTTATCATATTCCAACACAAAGGAAATAGATTTGAGAACCGATTCCATTAGGTTGAAATGGATTCATAAGAAAGGCAGTTGAGCACTGTAAATATCATCTGTTATACGAGGAAAATGCTCCCCTTCAGAGCAGAGAGGAACATTTGCTTTGAGTGTGGTGTCAGTACCAGGGCAATACTTGAAGGAAGGATCAAAATACGTTCCCCTGCTTTCAAGTAGGTCTTGTGCATTAACAATTGTCTTTATGTATCAGTTGGATGTAACAGTGACGCTCAACTTCAGAAGAAGATCATTTTCAAAGCTGGTGCCATTTGCCCCGGGACCCAATGCTATGTTCAAACATAGAGAGTGGATCCTAGAGAAACAACTGAGATGCTGCTAGCAACGGCGTCGGGCACTGTCTCCAGCTCCACTCCACCGATGGACTTCGTTCTTTGATATTGGCTTTGCTAATGTGAGCATCCTTCATGTCTCTATAGGATCACCTTTTACAATGGCCACTTAGGCCTCCATAGGAAACAGAGACTATGCCCAACAGAATCTCAACACTTCACTGAGAACACAAAGACCTTAGCTCGCAGCTAGAATACACCATTAATTTGACCATGAGAAGACAACAGGTCTCACACCTGATCAAACGCATATGTAACTAAGTGGTGCTGTTCTAGTCACAACTACTGCTGCAGTTCAATGCTACTTACTGACAACTTTCATTACAAAAGAAAGATGCCGTTTTCTTACAAATAATGTTGAAAAGGTTGATTGTCTTTCTTACAATATAAATATTCTATTGAAGTTTCTTACAACTACTGTTGCTAAGGGTAAACTGTCTTCATTACAACTAATGTTATACAAGATCCTGCATTCTTACAACTAATGTTACAAAAAGATATTTTCTTTCTTATTACTATTGTTATTCAAGAGAGATGCTGCTGCCTTAAAACTTCTAGGGCACAAGTCAGCTGTTACTTTCCTACAACTGCTGTTACATATTTTGGAGTCTGCTTTCCTTCAACTACTGTTACACAAGGTGGATGCTGCTTTCCTTACAACCAAGGTTACACAAGGTGGATGCTGCTTTTTAACAACTACTCTACAAAGATCATTCAGCAGACTGTTTTGTAGGTTGCTGCCAAGGAATTTAGTGTCTGATTACTGTAAATATTTAATCTTTTAGCAGATATAATCCAAAAATATGACCACAGAGCTGACGACATATTAAATTTATGTTGAGACAGGACATTTTCTCAAACAAGAAAATACTGTTGCTTCTTCTCGTAATCAGTTAATTCTTAATGCTGAACTTAGATGGTCTCTTTCCCTAGAACAGAGGTTATAGAACACAGAAAAATAGACCACATGTCTTGCAATTTACAACAAGCAGTCACCATGACATACAGTGTTGATACACATTTGTTTGAAAATCTCATTTGACCTAAACTAACATTTCACGCAACAGAGAATGATAGGTCAGAGCGATAACTAATAATTCACATATCTACAACTGTTCAAGTGGAGACCCCCACAGCTCAAATCATGTACTACTTCAAATATTTTTCCATTAGAACCTTTACTACCGTAATCGCCAACATAATGAACGTTGTAAAGTGCTTGTCAACCAATAACCCTTCACAATTGTGAGGTGGCAAACGTTTCTCCTTGAAACCACGAGTTGTCAAAATGTTTTCTTGTTTTGTGGCACTAAATGCATGGCCAACCTCCCACCATGATGGTGTGTGTATGAATGAGATTGCTGGGTTTATGGTAAACAGGCAAGTGGAGTAGCAGACTGGGGCGGCATTTCCCTGGTAATGGGTCCATGATTACACTTAGTGGGCAATACAGGTGGGAAATCTTTGGTACCTGTGGGTTTGGATCCTTGTTGGTACCGATTATGTTTCTAAGTTTGTCACAACCATACTCATGTTACCGGGTTTCACTGAAGAGGGAAACATCTGAGAACTTTATCTCCTCTCGTTATTTCCCTAATTACACTGCCACAGTGTGATATAACTGGAATACTGTTTAAAGTGGCGCTAAACTCAACTCACTCACTCACTCAAACTCAGTTCACTCAGTCACCATAGTAAATGGATTTAGGAGAGTGGAAGGTCAGAGGTTGATCCCTGACTGTGATAACACAAGATGGTACTTGTGGCTACCTAGACTAAGGCTTAGTCTCTGAATATATATAATTTTGATAGTAACAAACAAGCCCATTTATATTGAAAAGGAGCCCTAGGGAGACCAGAGATTCAGAATCTGAACCTGGGGAAATCTAGACTTGCTTCGTGTAGGGCTTTAGCACTACAGGGAAGGCTAGGCTGTAGGGAAAATAATGTGGTTCAGGGACTGTGAGACAGACTAGTGGCTACCCTGCCTGGTGCTCTACAATAGGGTGATAAAAGCACTGACTGATTTCCAAGTTAGCCTTGCTCCAAGGCTGTACAGAATGCTAAGCCCATGGATGTATACTAATTCTATCCTTTAAAGAGGCAAGTCTAGATATGCAGACAGTACAGGACCCCAGTCTGTTATTTATATTTTTTTAATAGAAATTCTCATTCAAACTATTAATTATTACCTCAGAGACTTGTGCAAGTCTAATTCTGATTATATACACTGTCAGTCATGGGCATCCTTGCAAATCAGGGACATGGTATCTCACTGGGTGTGCACTATGAAATTGGCAGTCACACAGGTGCAAGTAGATGCAGACGGATGGAAAGATGGATGGACAGACAGACAGACAGACACACACACACACATGCCACTATGTAAGTGAATGTGACCTTCAACCCCATCTCACCTCACTCTCACACAGAAATACCAGCAGCAATGCCATGGGTACAAATATCTGCCATTTTGGTGGTCCTCTGAACTGAGGAAATCACTCACAGCCTCCCGAGGCATGTCGTGGCGCAACTTGGGACACTGAGTGGACCATTATGGCACCTTGTTTGAGAAAACATGACGTTTGCACAGCCATGTGGCTCAAAGAAAACGTGAATGAAACTGATATTGGGTAAAAAACAACCCTGTATTGTTCACATTGTTGTTGGAAAGGGGCAGTGGGTTACATAACCAAACAGCCCAGCCATTGTTGAATTTGTCAAAACTATGTGGTTCTGATTTCAGAAAATTTATTCCATAAACACCGATTAAGCAAACATTTTGAAAAGAATTACTCTAACATGAAGACAGCCTTATCTCATTTGTAAAGAAAATAGCAGAAGCTGTCAACATGCGGAACTGATTGCGTCTTGTTAACTATCCATTCTTATGGGACGAGGAATATGTGCAACCTGTAACCTATCTAAATAAACTGTACATAACATGTGGCTAAACGGTCTACAAAATCTTAGCTATTCAAACTGCTTTTCCTTCTGAAATAGCATTACCGGGGTTTTTTTGATTGTTTTTTTAAAGAATTTGGACAAGTTTAACTTTTTCTGGTTCCACTTAATGTGTTGGAAATATGAAGAACTTATACACATTTGAACACTCGTTAAACCCTGGATGATCCAGGCATGCTTAGGTTTTAATAATCATAATACTGATCATTAGTGCCTGGAGTGATGCTTCAATGTTTTGCAGACAATTGCAATTCTGGGAGTGATGCTACAATGTCTTTTGCTTAACACCACCCTCACAAATATTCTGGCCAATATGAGGGTGGTATGTAAATAGTAGAAATCTGGATCTGACAATCTAGTGGTTCACACCAATAATTTATAATTCTGCTACAATGTTCTGCTTGACACTTGTAGCATTGGAAGTAATGATAATATTTTCTATTAAAACCTGTTTTAGAAAAAGCATGATGTTGCCATTTTCTGAAAGCTATAATCAGTATTATTATAATGAAGACACTGTAACATCAACAGCATCTTCAGGACAGAGTCAGGCACCACACATACCTGAACTTGTTGTGGTACCACAGAATGGAAGGCTCAGGGTTGCCGGTGATAACACACTTCAAGATGATGTCCACACCAAGGGAGAGCTCCTCCTTCTTCGGCCGCTTCAGTTCCACCACTGCCGTCTCCGCAATCCCTGGAAGGAAGAAGGAATAAACTGAGAGATATATCGCAATAACAGTGTATATCACAAGATATATATCACAAACATTTATTAGGGTCCACAGAAACACATGACTTAGCTGTAGATGATAGTGCGGATTGTTATACTGGTCGAGGGTGAAGACAATCAGACAGGATGATATTTTGTTTACCATGGCTAGTTGATCATATTTGTTTTCTCCCACCAAATATTAATAACTACTAGCATGAAATGAGGTAGTTGTAAAACTTGGGATGTCTTCATGATAGTCATGGGTTAAATATGATAAACATGCAGATTTTATTGCAAGGTTAAATGGACAATGTGAATCATTATGGATATGAATCATATCATGCCCCGTTGAAATATTGTAGGAATCGGCATTTCACAGAGCAACACAAAATCAATACTGACAGCAATAAAGTGAATCAAGAGGCTGGATGGCTGGATGTGTGGATCCAAGATTCAGCAACCATGAATTTTTTTTAAAGAAGTTTAGACAAGGGCGGACATTGTGTCTGCTCATTGTGCCACACCTGGCAGAGATCATTTGTGCTATATGCACATGTTGGACCTTCGACCCACACCAGCTCAATATCAAAACATCAAACAAGACCAGCATTATTTCCAAATGACAGGATAGGATTTGACACAATACCACGTAGCCATGTACATCAGGCTTTGAAACTCCCTGCTGATTTTGAGTATGTGCCAGAATCTCAGACCATCTTTCAAATCGCTCGAGCCACAAGTCTACACAATAGAGCCTCAGCCTAATCTCCTCCTGAGACGTACATCTTAACTTCAATTATCAATTACATCTCCAACAGAATAATGCCGTAATTTCTCTTTCATGCTCTAGCAATGGCCAAGCCTGACCGTGAATACATCATGAATACATTGGCAGTCAAACATGGATGTGGATGTGAAGGTGTCGTCTGCTCCTCAATGGAAGTCGTTATACTGTATGATTAGACTATATGAATGCCCGCAATCTTGTTAACCCTTCTCTGTAGGTGCTATCTATGGGCTAGTCTACTACACAGTTCAGGAAATTTATTGGAGAGCCGTCCCCATCATCATCAGATATCTGTGGTTTCAGGAACTGGACGGCACTAACATACAACACATCTGTCATATCAGTTTCAAAATTGGCCATTATTTCTGTACCTATAACTAAACACGAAGAGTAACCGACAAGGCAAAGCCTTAGTACAGCAACACCCGGAACGCCATGGCAACCACCTCTGTACACAACCAGTGTTTTCCCTACACAGTATACCAGTCAGGTATCCGGAGGCTAAAGGATATCTTAGAACCCTATACTCCTCTAGTTGGTCTTCTTCACCTGTGGAACTTTCAGTCAGTTTACCAATTAGAGGTCAGATACTTGTTTACCCTATGCTATGGTTCAGAGAGATGAAATACACTGCCCGGCAGTGGAAACTGAGCTTTAATTTTCAACAGTTAGAGAAAATAACCCTTGGCAATGTTTGTTTATTTTCACAGTAGACTGTAATAAAACTGTCAATTTGAACCCATCAGAAATCAATTACTGTCACTTTGTGTGAAAACTTGGAGATCCTGTTACAATAATCTCCATATTGTTGAAAACAGTTGGAACTATGGTAGAGTATCACTTACAAATTCAAATATGATTTATATACCTCCCACAGGTAATGTTGTTAAAAACTATCATGTCTGCCACTAACAATCTAAACCCGGCACCTCACAAAGCACATGTTCCATACTCTAATACCTTGGTAATTTAATGCTACAAATGTTTATAATCTACTATGATCAGATTGTGAAGACCCATCGGTGACTACAAAACACACTTAAAGCATATTTGTATCTAACATAGAGGTAGGGTATAGGATCAGTGACCTTCACAGGACTCCCCCCTCCTGTAGACTTTCAAATAAGCACCAGCATTCCTTGTGGGGACATCACTTTTAAAGTCTAATGACAAACAAAACAAGAAAGTTGATGTCGGTAATGAAGGAAAAGTAGTCATTAAAGCCAAAACCATCCGTATCGCTTACAACTTAGGCAACTTGCAACCTCCTGTTACAGCTCTGATGAACCACAGAGCTGATGACACTTACAGATGCACAGTCTTAAATTTCTACTGGTTCCTTCTCAAAGAAAAAACAATTTTTTTTTATAGGAGTCAAAATACTGAAAATGCAAACGATGGTTCGTTTTGTCACAGACACATATCATCGTGCCATTGCAATATGGTTAGAGTTACCTGCCCTTGCCTTGTACACAGATCATTCTGCCTTTGGTGAAAAGTGACAGTTCAAAATAGGATCCTAAATTCTTTATCTACGCCTTATTGAGAACAATGTCCCAAAATTAAAACAATTATATATTTTAGCATCATGAATGAGTAAAGCACCTTCACTTTAATTACATTTTGAACATATAGTCTGACTTGAACCCAGACAGGGAGCTTACAAGCCTACAACTCGGACCCCACAAATTCTTCATGTCTTTGACGAATATTGCATGACTTCATACACATTTTTAAAAAATATCTCTAAACCCAATGGAACACTTGCATTCTTTTCAACCAGTTTTGAAGCCATGTTTCAACTTAATTCTCTTAATTTGGGAAAGGTGATAAAAATATTATCATGATCATTGCAAGTTGGCGCACCTCTGGGAAATCCACAGAGTTGTTCATCTTGCCATGATGGCTCCACAATGAGGTGGCTAATTCCAGGAAGCCATCAACAAGATTTATACCTGATAGAGACTCCATCCATTTACACAAGCTGAGAATTAGGGTGAAAATACTTGACACAATGCCCAAACTTCTAATCGTAAAATCCCCGATTCTCCAAAGAAGGGATAAGAATAGAAAAACGGATCTCATTTGTCAAGGAACGAGGCTGCCTTCAATTCAGGATGTAATTGGCAATATCAAACCAAAATGAAACTAATCGCAAAGAACTTGGCACATTTACCGAGTAAATATCAACTGGATCATTAATCAGTTAAATATATCATCCGCCTACTTAACTTAGTAGAATAGCCATCTCTGGGAAATAGCTTGGGTTGTAGGTTCATTTCGGGTTTCTTTAAAGAATTTCTTCTTCCGCCATTTAAAAAATATTTAAATTGTTGAAAGCGGCAAGCATTAACAGTCATTAACATTTAATCTTGTGAAGCCAACGTACACAAATGTGTGAAGTCGAGCCTCCTCAGTCAAGGGTCAGCCATTACAGGTTACGATACGTATATGTATGCCGCAAGGAAACAATTTAAAATCGATAACAATATATTGGGTATGATGACACATGAGATGAATCAGTCAAGCTAGAGTTGGTTCAACTACACAGGTAGATAAACATTTAACAGATTAACAGATAAAAGTCAACATTCAGTTTTCAAGTCTTGGGCCAGTTCCTTTGTCACGGTAAATGTTTTTTAGTTTTCTCATTTGTATGCAAAAAAATAACTTTGCATATTACATTTAAAATTAATAGCTCATTTGTCTTTTCACACACAAAGAAATTATTTCATCCACTAGACAATAACAGAAACCAGCAATGACAGTGCACCTGTTTGTTTTGTCCTCACAAAATCACCCCTGCAAAATACACCACCCTACCAGTCACATTTAAGAAGCTTTAGGATGTAAGAGACATGTTGACATTACTGTAGACATTTAACCCTGAAACTGAAGCTTATTGGCTCCACCTTCATCCCCAGCTCTTGGTGACCCTGTCAAACTTTCGGCAAATTGTGGTTGTCTTGAATCTGTCGCGACTGACATAATATGCAAGATTTCCATCAGAATCAGGAACATGATGGCATAATTCTGTCGCTTGATGTCACTATCTGTCATAAAGCCTGAGTTACGATCTTTGTGCAGTACAAAGGTTTGTCTGGCTAATATCATCATTAGCAGTCTTGTACAGCCCGCAGTCCCACAACTACTAAACGACACATTAATCTAAGACAAATAATTCATTGTTGGCCTGAGTCACGGAAAAAAAACGTTTTTTCATCACGGACATGACAATGATTTTCCCATTTTTCTGTTTGACACATGATGACATCATCTATCCCAGGTAACACCATTCAAAGGGAGGTAATCAATACAGCATTAACCCTCTAAGAAATTACTCTGCTTCTCATATCCCCACAAAACAAAACGGTAAATCAAGACACATCTTTATACTGAAAATGTCTCATTGCTGTTAAGCATTGAAATAAAAAACTCTTTTTTTGATGTTACAGAAAATATTTTAACATCAGGAAATCAGCAAGTTTGGTCTTGTAATTACACATGTTTTTTCAGTTGTCAGCTCACCAGTGATAGACTCCTACCTCAACAGATGTAACTATCATGATATTGCTGGATCCAGTCTAATAAAACCATTCTTCAAAAGTGCATATTACAAAACAGGACCACCATACTGAAGATATGCTGCTATATATATATTTTCTTGCCACCCTCCTACAGGAGCTGTATTAGAAAAAGTAGAAACAGAATGTGGCCTAAAATGTAGGTAAGCTTAGAATCTGACAGTAAGATTGTGATTTATGACTGCCCATGATAATTACTGGGACAATTGTGTATTAAAGGTCACCTAACAATACTTTCATCAATAAACATCCAAATATACGCCAGAGCAATAAAATCTGTCTGGATTACCACCCTTACCAGTGAGTGAGTGAGTGCGTGCACTCAGCAATATTCCAGCTGGCGGCGGCGGTATGTAAATAATCTAGTCTGGACCAGGCAATCCAGTGATCAACAGAAGGAGCATCGTTCTGCGCATGTGTCAACCAAGTCAGCGAGCCTGACTACCCGATCCCGTTAGTCGCCTCTTACGACAAGCATAGTCGCCTTTTGTGGCAAGCACGGGTTGCTGAAGACCTATTTTACCCCGGATCTTCACAGGTCCAACCCTAATCAGATTACACTAGGCGAATTATTGACAGAAATTGTACGAGTGGATCAGTCAAAATCTGTG